GGCGCTATTTTTAAGCCGAATGGTAATCGCGTGAAGCGATACGAACCATTGTTTGTCGAGAAGGACGTTATATCTCTAGAGCTTTTTTCCAGCTCGATTTGGTGAAAACCTGACATTAAGTCGAGACATGAAAAATATTTTGCTCTACCTAGTTGGTCTAAAATGTCTTCAATTCTGGGTAGTGGGAACTTAACAGACAATAATTATGCCAATCTTCGGATTGCTTAAAGTCTAACTGACAGTTGTATTTTTGATAAAGTCGATTCCTAATATTCCATTACAGGGGATGGCAAATTGTTAATTTACAATATGAAAATTACGTGGGATTATATATTTAGAAGTCTGTATCTCAATGGATATTTGTCCTATACATTTTGAAATTTCTTGACTGATTCCTTGTATGTTTATTACATAGTCGGATTGGATGTTTGGAATAACATCTGAATTTTCTTTGGGTATAGATATGTCCGCACCAGTGTCTACTAAAAATACAAGTTCTTTTCCGGTTGCGACATTTTTGAAAGTTACAAATATATTTTGGCTGAGATTGATTGTGTGAATTTTTGTGGTCCCTATTGCTTGGTATCTAAAGGTTGTTGGGAGTTTCCCGAAACGTTTTGGGCTACCCTAACATTATTGTTATTATTATTGTTATAGTAATAACCCCTATTTTGGTGGTTATTTCCTCTATAACTTCCTCTATTTTGGCCTCGTCCTCTATTATTGTTAAAGTAACCACGGTTACTATTATTGTTGTCATAAGAACGGAAATTACCTCTTCCGCGGTAATTTCCACGGTTACTTTTATTGTAAAACAGGACCGTGTTCGATTGGCCTGTTGCATCCGTACAACTGTTTACGAATTTGGACATGGCCTCATCTAATGTGTTGAATGTGCCAGCCTCCATGACAAGTTTAATCTTATCGATCGTACAGTTTTTGGTCATTGCTTTGACGGCATGTGTTTTGCTGTACTGAGTGGCTAATTCTGTGGACAGTCCGTCATTTATGTAGGCTCCTTCTAGTGCCTTTGCCAATTTCTCTACTTCTTGAACGTATTGATTGGCTGTTTTCTGTCTCTGTTGGAGATTCAATAGTTTTGCCGAAATTACATCTACCGATTCTCCTCTAACTTTATTTTTTAGTTTCTCTATTATTTCTGAGATTGAGATTGTCTATTACGTTTCGTGCATGGCCTTTTAGCTTAGTCTTGATCAGATTAACTGCTAAAGCTTCATGTGATTCCTTCAGGGAGTTACCAAATTTAAGGAATCTAAGAAACTGTGATGAAATCATTTATATTTTTATCGTCAATATTTTCTTTTTCTTTTTCTTCTTCTGAATCTATTTTATCAGTATTATCGGTATCTGACTCTAGTTGTTGACTAGGTTCAGCCGTCAGTGGGGTATTAAGAACAGTGGGAATAGATATATCCAAATCGTATTTTTCTTTGACAGAAATAAGATTGGATCTTATCCGTAGGAACAATTTTGCGGCATATGACCAGTGTGACTGGTTTAGTTTTTCTCTGTTATTATAGCGTTATAGCGTGTTTGTTTATGGTGCCTTCTTGTATATTTCTGTTTTGATTTAGGCATTTAGAGGATTTGTCAAACGTATTTTATACTTCTGTCAGCCTATCCTTTATTTCTTTCCATTTCATGCTGCTTTTATCACTATTACATTACTAAGAAACGGATCTATATTTACTTCCGAAAAAATTGTACAATTTGGTACTGTACTCAGAATAATTCCTTTTTGTGTAGCAGTGCAATGGATCAATGGTGAAAATTGTAGGTTATATCTTTCAATGTATTCATTTTCGAGTTCATTGATTGACATTGGTGACTTGTGCAATTGAAGAATGGCTTGCACTCGCTCAGAAAATTCGGGGTCCTTTCTAAAGGCTTGACTTATCGCTTTATTTGTCGGCATAATTAAAATATTTTTAGAGTCCTTTGTTTTTATTGTTCACCTATTTTTCCATTCGTACCTATCAATCTATTTGCATAAGAAATTACAGGGGCTCTGTTATCTTTTGATTTATCAAAAAAATACCCTATTCTCTATTCTCAAAATCTAGTTCTCTTTTTTTTTTGTGTTCTTTTACGATCATGTTTTTTTTTTAGTTTTTATTTATTATCTTTATTTTTTATTTTATTAATTTCTTTGTTTAGAAACTATGTTTCTTAGACAATCAGTTCATTTCTCATTACTTAGACCATTATTTTGAAAAAGTTTTTTTTTCATTTATATATATTTATTTCAAGATTTTGCAATCTATATTTTTATTATAATTATCATGGTGTTGTGCGTGTGCATTTAGATCTTATTTAGATCTTTTGCTTGGCGTATGGCCCTTTTTGTTATACACCTATAAAGTAAACTTTTTAATTTGTCTATTTCATCGTCAGTTTTTCCTACTATCTGGAAGGACTCTTATATCATTCCACTTCACAAAAAGGGTGCGAAGGCGGATGCCCAGAATTACAGAGGTATTTCTAAATTGTCGGCAATTCCTAAAGCATTTGAACGTATTATTACTTCTCATTTGCAACATTTATGTTCCTCGCTAATATCACCGTGTCAGCATGGTTTTGTTAAGCGAAGATCGACCACCACCAACCTTCTAGAATTGTCATCTATTGTAATAAATGGATTTAAGAATAAAATGCAGACTGACGTTATATACACTGATTTTAGTAAGGCCTTTGACTCTGTCAACCACTCTCTTCTCTTATTCAAATTAAATCAGCTTGGGTTTCCATGTAATCTATTAATTTAAACATTTAACTTTAAAGGTAATTAAAAATATGACCGTTTTTTTTTGATTTTAAGTTTGCGAAGGTTTACTGAAATGGGCCTCCTTTAAAGATTTAACTTTAAAGGTAGTTAACAATATGACCGCTTTTATGTCATTGATTTTAAGATTGCGAAGGTTTACTGAAGTGGGCCTTCTTTCCATCTTTAAAGGCCCATAACTTGGTCAAATGAACTCGGATTTCGATATGGCATACCTTTATGGGATTGTGGAATGATTATGTTGTAATCGGTACTAAAATATATAACTTTAAAGGTATTAAAAAATATGACCGCTTTTATGTCATTGATTTTAATTTTGCGAAGGTTTACTGAAATGGGCCTTCTTTACATCTTTAAAAGCCCATAACTTGGTCAAATAAACTCGGATTTCGATATGGCATACCTTTATGGGCTTGTAGAATGATTTTGTTGGAATCTGTATTAAGAAATATAATTCAAAACGAAGTTAATAATATGACCGTTTTTATGTCATTGATTTTAATTTTGCGAAGGTTTACTGAAACGGGCCTTCTTTCTTTTTATCTTTAAAAGCCCATGTTTTGGTCAAATGAACTCGGAAATCGATATGGCATACCTTTATGGGCTTGTGGAATGATTTTGTAGTAATCTGTATTAAAAAATATAATTCTAAAGGTAGTAAAAAATATGAATATTTGAACGGTAGGACTCAGAGGGTTATATTCAAGAACGCTGCCTCAAAACTGATCTATGTGACATCTGGAGTGCCTCAGGGTAGTCATTTGGGCCCTTTGGTGTTTACTTTGTTTATTAACGATCTTCCCTCTATCATAACACACTCTCGTGTACTAATGTATGCTGATGATGTTAAGCTTTGTTTATCACATAATGATATAGCGTCGGGTTTCAACTTACAGTCAGATATTGATTGTTTTCAGGGATGGTGTGAGTATAACCTTTTAAATTTGAACTGCCTTAAATGCAACGTTATGACTTTTCATAGGGGTACTCCAACTTTTGTTAGTTACTCTCTTCAAAATACGCCACTCGACCGTATATATTCAGTTAATGACTTAGGCGTTCTTCTGGACCCAAAACTTAAATTTGACTGCCACATAATGTCCACTGTCAGCAAGGCCATGAGTGTTCTTGAGTTTATAAAGCGTTGGTCAAAAGAATTTGATGACCCTTATACAAACAAATTATTATTTACCTCCCTTGTCCGTCCTATTTTGGAATATTGTTCTTCGGTTTGGAGTCCACAATATCAAGTGCATATTGACCGTATTGAGTCGGTACAAAAAAAATTTCTTCTTTTTGCCCTTCGTAGTTTGAACTGGGATCAAAACATAAGGCTACCTATCAGAGTAGATTACTATTGCTTAATTTACCTACCCTTGCAAATCGTAGAACAATGCTTGGTACTATTTTTATGCAAAATCTCATAAGAGGTGATATTGATTCTATAGAACTTGTAAACCGCCTAACTTTCAATGTTCCTGTTAGACTAACAAGAAATTATTATCCCCTAAATTTGCCACGATGTACATCTAATTTTTGTCTGCACGAGCCCTTTCGCGTTCTATGTAAAATTTATAACAACCTTTATCATTTAATTTGCACTTCAACTTCTATCCCGGTATTAAAAACTAATATTTTAACTCATTTGCTTCATTCTTAGATGCTTCTTTTATTTTCATTTGTGTCCCGTCTCTATTTGTTTTTTGTATCTTCCTCGCGAACTCGTATTTTATGCCCAAATTGATAAAAGGGCCCCGCGCGTAACAAGCACGTGCTTGGTGTCGTTGGGCCACTTGTTTGTACTGCTCGTAGTGCATCAACGTCCATCATATAACATATATATCCGCACAAAATTATGAATATTATCAATAACAATATATATGTTAAATGGTGATCGATATTTGTCTATTCTATTTTATTAATCACGTTTGCAGTAGAGTCCACTGTTTTGGTATCGATCAATCCCATTGTGTTCATATAACTTATCTTATTACTTGTGTCGAATTTACTTATACTATTACTTTTCCTTAGTTTTTTATTTCTTATTTTTAGGTCTTTCTTTTTTTTTGTTTAATTTTTTTAAGTTTTAATTTATTATTTTTTTTTTGATTGAGATAAAAAAATTACAGTTCTCTGCCTATTTGTTCGTATAGCTTTTCGGGCTATACTGCTACTGGGCAGAAAGGGTTCAGCTAAATTTTACAAATTTGAATTATAATAACATATATTCACTTAAATTTGTTTTGATCATTAATTTTATTTCAGTCCGCTTTTCTTCAGACCCTCTACTGCATCAGCTGGTTGTCGCCGGAGTTGGCACGCTGATGCTCCATCGACGGCGTAGGGGTTTTGGCTTGCCCCCCACACTTGTAGTTTCCGCTGCTGCTGTCCGGGGCCTCTGGGCTCAGGCGGTACCGGTGCCGGTAGTCGCACAGGTTTTTTGTTTCGGTTTTTCTCCGCAGGTGATTTCGCAATGGGGGCTTTCCAGCGGTCCAGGGCAGTCCTTCGGGCACGTTTTCTCTCTTTTGGGGAGAGGCTTCGGGAGAGGAGGTGTTTTTTTTGAATTTATAACTTTTATGGCTGAGTGAGCTGGAGTTAGTGGCTTTTTTTGCTCGATACTTGATTTTAAAAAATCAAGTTCATTTTGAAGTTTTTGGGCAGTTGCCCAGGGGGGTGGTGGCTGTTTCTTAAATAATAGCCACTTTACATGCGCTATTCTTTTGTTTATTTTATGCTTCACGCCCCGCGTTTTGTCATAGTTCCATCTCTACTCACTCAGTTTTTTCAGTGGCCTCCAGATAATTTTTGTTCATCCAGTCCGATTTCCGCCAGCTCATCAGTTTTCTTTTTCAATTTACTGGGTTGTCCTTCGTCCTGCTATTTTCTGATGTCCTGCGATCTTCTTATGCCTTGTCACGGTCGCCATGTGATAGTTATTATCCCAATTTGAATATGTTGTTTCAATTTAGATTTGCACGTCAACCTTTTGCTTAGAGTTCTCTTTATTCAATGAATTCTTAAGGCTATTACAATTCTTCGTACAGCTACTGAGAGTGTAGCTGCGCCGCCAGAGACGCCGGCAGAGCAGCGTTCAATGCTTATGTATAGATGTATGTATTAGTAGCCGCTGGCGAAGAGTCGTCGCGGCGGAGGGGAGGTCTTATGTTCACTTGGTGACAGAGCGGTCGCGCATGTCAAATATGCAGACTCAGCACTGTCCAGTCCCAGCACAGTCCCAGTGCACTAACCGGCGATCATATTACCGGGCACTTAAAGAACAGCTCGGTACTTGAATTTGTGGCTTACTTATTGTGGCCAAGTGCTACAATGTATATGTAATAATATTAATGCGAAACACTGAGTACAGTGTGCATTCAATATGTGAACATACTACATCTCCCTCCTTTAGAAAAATAACGTAATTATATGGAGTTATTTTCTTAGTATATTGATTTGTATATAAGAATATATATATATAAATTTATGCATTTTAATTTTTAGTGTTTTTTTTTTTGTAATTATGTTTTTACTGCTATGTATGGCCGTACTTGAAATATTTGTAAGAGTAATGAACTGATTATGAAATAAAAGATTTTAGTCAATCTTTATGTACTGTTTGCTTCTTATTTTTATTGTTTGAAATTATTATATTTTCGTTCTCTTCTAAACTTTCTACCGTATATGGCCCAGTATATTTAGAATCTAGCTTATGTCCTGTTTCATTTTTCAATAAAACTTTATCTCCTATGTCATTAGTCGTAAGGTCATAAAATTCTTTATTTTTCCTTTTATTTTCCTCTATCATAATTCTAGCTCTTTTATGTGCTATTTCTAATCTATATTTACTCTCTAGCATAATCGCCTATGTTATATATATGCTCTATGTTTTTTATGGTATTAAATTGTTTTGGTAAATTCGATGTTTTGCCAAAAAACTAACTCATATGAACAGTAATCATGTGCCATTGAGGGTGTTGTAACGAACTGATTTTGTATGTCTGCTCGCTACGAGATTCGTGCGGCTAGCTCAGAAGATTGTGTGTTCGTCCCACCAAATTTATATGACGTGATTGCCCGTAGATCAGTGAGAAAACAAAGTGTTCAAATGGTAACAGTGGGATTTATTCTCGTGGTATTGGTACAGCGGGTGTGTGGCTATGCTGGTTTCTGTATCTCCTTGTTCTGGTTCCGCCGGCTGCTGGTGCTCCTCCTTCTGGCTTCTCGACGCGTTGACTCGTCCTCCTCTGGATCCTGGGTCTCGGGACGCTCGTAGTGGCCGCCTCTGCTTGCTTGCCGACGCGTTGCCTCGGGGTCGCTTGTAGCGCCTTAGACCCGCAGAGAGTTCAGCCTTATGGGCTTAGGGAAGCGTCACCGTTCTCAGACTAGGGTGAACAAGCTTTGCTCTCCAGGCTGACGCCTTTCGAGGCAATACCTGTCCCTTGCTCTGTCCCGGACGGTCCCGCTAGGTTCTTGCTCAGTTCGCGCTGACAGTCAAGGCTGCCGCCCGGAGGCTGTCTAGCGGTTCACTTCGCTTTACGCCTAGCGCAGACGAACGTTCCACCCGGCTTCACCCTAATGCGTGACGTCCGCGACGCTCCTGCGCTCCCCAATGAGCTCCGCGCGGCGATGTCTTCTGACCAGTATCTCGTTGTTCTGGCGCTCGGGGAGCTGGGCGGTCGCTGCTCGGGAACTTCGCCGGTAATCGCAGGGCTCTCCAGGCTGACGCCTTTCGAAACCACAAATCGATCTACCGCTCGTCCGTCACGCCAGGTCCTGCTTGGTCGGGCAAGGTACGCTGGGTCGCAGACAACCATTCTCTCTCGATCTCCATCCTTGGTCTCCAATCTCTCTCGCTCTCCTTCATTGGTCTCCAAACTCTCTCGCTCTCCATCCTTGGTCTCCAATCTCTCTCGCTCTCCTTCATTGGTCTCCAAACTCTCTCGCTCTCCTTCGTTGGTCTCCAAACTCTCTCGATCTCCACCCTTGGTCTCCAAACTCTCTCGTTCTCCCCGCCGCGCCGTTACTACGCGAATTCGCCGCGTATCTGGTAAGCGGCCGGCCATCTGCTGCTGGTTCTATTTGTGGGGAGTTGTTCAACTCCTCACAGACAGACAGTACCAAATAATCGAGGAGGAGCAGCAGTTGTCCACAGCTGTGATGATTGGTGGGAAAAGCTACAAAGCCACAATCGACACCGGAGCAACGGCAAGCTTCGTTAGCGAAGAATTGGCGGACAATATCGCTGCTCTAGGAAAGATTACAAGGACGAGACGGCAAGTTAGGTTGGCAGATGGAAGGTGCGGCGGAATTAATGCGCAGCTCGAGGTGGAGGTCAAATTCGGCAACAAACAAGTGACCATGAGCCTGTTGATTTTACCCGGGGTAGTGGATCCATTAGTGTTGGGATGGAACTTCCTGAAACAAGTCGGAACCGAGATAAGGTGCGCTGGACACGAAATAATAATACCAGCCAGGAACCGACACAATGCATGGCTCGAGGAGAAGCTATCAGTAGCAGTCGTTCAACAAGTAAACGAGTTGGACGATACTACAGCGTTCCTTGAAACAGAGCTGGCAGACTTCAGCACAATGTCGGGAACATCGAATATGGCAGAACACCAGATCAAAATGAAGGACGACAAGCCAATCAAGCAGAGATACTACCCAAAGAACCCAAAAATTCAAGGGGAAATCAACGCAAAGGTGGACGAGCTTCTCCAAATGGGGTTCATAGAGCATTCAAAGAGCCCATACAGCTCCCCCATCGTGATGGTGAAAAAGAAGACAGGCAAGTGGAGACTGTGTGTCGACTTCAGGCAGATCAACGCGAAGTCAGTGAAGGATGCCTACCCAATGCCCCGCATAAACTACATCCTAGATCAACTAAGAGAAGCGCGGTACATCAGCAGCTTGGACCTGAAGGATGGATACTGGCAGATCCCACTAGAAGAAAGTAGCAGGCAATATACAGCATTTACGGTACCAGGCAAAGGTCTGTTTCAGTGGAGGGTAATGCTGTTCGGACTTCACTCGGCGTCGGCAACGTTTCAGCGAGTCTTGGACCAAGTAATTGGCCCCGAGATGTCACCTCACGCATTCGCTTACCAGGATGACATAATAGTGATCGGTCGCACGCTGGAAGAACACAAAAGAAACCTGAAGGAAGTGTTCCGGCGTCTAAAGGAGGCAAATCTGAGGCTGAATCCAGAAAAATGCCAATTCTTCAAAAAGGAGCTGCTGTACCTGGGTCACCGAGTGACTAGCGAGGGAATAGGAACAGATCCAGAAAAAGTAGCCGCCATCGCCGAACTAGAACCGCCATCGACTGTCAAAGAGCTCCGACAATACCTAGGAGTAGCGTCGTGGTACCGCCGGTTTGTACCAGATTTCTCCAGAATCGTCAAACCCCTGAACGACCTGCTGCGCAAAGGCAGTAAGTGGGAGTGGACACCAGAGCACCAGATGGCGTTTGAGGAGGTCAAGGCAAGACTCGTGGCAGATCCAGTGCTAGCATGCCCGGACTTCAGTAGAACTTTCATCCTGCAAACAGACGCCAGCGACTACGGCATCGGAGCGATACTGACCCAGGACACCGAAAAGGGCGAAAGAGTAATCTCCTACTCGAGCCGAACACTGAACGGCGCGGAAAAGAACTACTCGACAACGGAGAAGGAGTGCTTGGCGATCGTCTGGGCGATCCGGAAGCTCAGGCCATATCTGGAAGGTTACCACTTTAAGGTAGTAACCGACCACATGGCCCTGAAGTGGCTCAACAGCATCGAAAGCCCTTCAGGAAGGATCGCCAGATGGGCCCTGGAGCTACAACAGTACGACTTTGAGATAGCGTACAGAAAGGGTCAGCTAAACGTGGTGGCCGACGCATTATCAAGACAACCACTACCGGAAACACTACGAGGTTTAAAGGAGGCATCGGCAACTACAGCTTCAGGAGGGTGCAGCTGGATCAAGGACATGGGCGAAAAGATAAGGACCCAACCGCAGAAGTACCCGGACTATGTTATGGATGGTGAGACACTGTACAGAAACATACCTCACCGAGCAGGCAGTGAAGACGTCGCGTCATGGAAGATGTGCGTCCCGAAGTCGCTACGAGAAACAGTGTTGAGGGAAAACCACGACGCTCCGTCCGCGGGACACGTAGGAAGCCGAAGGACAATTGCACGGTTGGCAGCCCGATACTACTGGCCAGGCATGCATAGAGACGCCCGAGCCCACGTACGAAAATGCGAGATTTGCATGCGGTTTAAGCCCAATCAGATGCAGGCGGCTGGGAAGATGTTGACCCAAGTGCCGGAGGAACCATGGGCCACGGTATGTGCAGACTTCGTTGGACCCCTACCAAGATCTAAGCACGGGAACCAAATGCTGCTGGTCATGATAGACAGGTTTTCGAAATGGACGGAACTGGTGCCCCTACGCAGTGCGACGGCAGAGTCGCTCAAGAAGGCATTTAGGGAGCGCATAATCGCAAGGTACGGGGTCCCGAAGGTGGTCATAATGGACAATGGAGTACAGTTTGCAAGCCGCATATTTAAAAATTTCCTGGCTGAGATGGGTATCAGTCAACAATTCACCGCGCCATACACACCACAAGAGAATCCAACCGAACGAGCAAACAGAACGGTCAAGACCATGATTGCCCAGTTCGCAGGGCAGGACCAGAGAAACTGGGACGAGAAGTGGCCGGAGATTATGCTAGCAGTGAACACGAGCACATCGGAATCCACCGGCCATACACCGGCGTTTCTTACCCAGGGAAGGGAACCACGTCTACCCAGCAGCCTATACGATAAGGAAACCCTAGGAACCGGACGAGCTACGGAGACCCCTGAGGAAAATGCCAACGAACTAAGAGAGGTATTCGAGATCGTGCGGCGAAATATGGAAAAGGCGTCCCAGGACCAAGCCAGACACTACAATCTGAGAAGGAGACAGTGGTCACCAGCGGTGGGCGATATAGTGTGGGCCAAGGAACATCACCTGTCCAAAGCGGCAGAAGGATTCGCTGCAAAACTAGCCCCGAGGTACGATGGCCCTTACCAGGTGGTAGATTTCGTCTCTCCAGTGATCTGC